GTACATCCTCTGGTCTAGCCAGGTTTGTAAGGTAGAATTGGGATCATGATAGTGGGGTGGGCAGGGGAAGCATTTAAGAACTAAAGGAAAGTTGTATGTTTTATTGATGCTACACTGTACCCTGAGTGACTCATCTCCACCTAGGACCAAGATTTTTTTAAAGACACAACATCTGGAGAGGGGAGACTATTAGTTCAAGGTCAAAATGACGGCTAAGGAGAGTTAAGTAGGACATGGGAAGACAAAGGAAACTGTCACAGAAACATGATTGATGGCAGACCAATACATCACAGATGCAGGCAGGCCTATAGAAATGGGACTGGCACCATGATTGGACACACATATTATGGTGGACACAAGAGCTTACAGATGGGCCCAGGGCCTTCTGACGGAGGCAATCAGGTATGAAGCTCATAACTATGTGTATTAGGCAGTATTCTCCAGAGAAACAAAACCGGGACACATACACACACATATGATTAAATAGATTGATAGGTTTACACAGTGAGAAAGAATATAACAGCTAACTGGTCCACACAGTAGTACAGAGGGCTCAGCTCAACTCACGTTCATGGAACAGTTAGTATACAGGAAGTCCTTTAACTCAAGGAAGCAGACAGAGCAGTCTTCTCTCAGGCAAGGGAGGCAGAGTCTGCCGGAAGGCAGCAGACAGCAGGGTGGACCACCAACAGTCAGTAGCTCAGGAGCTTAGCAAAGCAGGCACAGATGGGATCTCAAACTCAAGCACGGTGCCAGGATTCACCAGTCTCAAGCTCAAGCAATGTACACACCAGCAGCGTGGCAAAGCAGGTTTCAAAGAAGCCTCAAGCTCAAGTGCAGCGGTTCTCAACCTGTGGGTCACGACCCCTTTGGGGGGGTCTTACGACCTTTTCACAGGGGTTGCCTGATTCACAACAGTAGCCAAATTACAGTTATGAAGTAGCAATGAAAATAATTCTATGGTTGGGGGGTCACCACAACATGAAGAACTGTATTAAAGGGTCAAGGCATTAGGAAGGTTGAGAACCACTGCTCTAGTGGGTTGGCTCAGCTCACAGTTAGTGTAGCACATAGGTTGAGGCAGAGAACTAGCTAAAGCAGCAGCATGCTAGTCCCATCAGCAAGGACCAAGGGAGAGAAGGGATGCTGCCTGTCTTTATTTCCATCATCCTCCAAGCAAGCTGACCTGATTAAGCTCCGCCCACATGTTCCTATTGGCCTAGTTGGCATAATAAACCTAAGCATCACACTGTGCAATGTCAGTGTGGCAGTCTCCAATGAGGGCGCACCTAGACAAGCTTCCAAAGGAGATGGACTGTCCTTGGACTGGTCAGGGGGTGGACGTAATGCACTTTCTAACGCACTCACCTGCAGGCAAGATAGTTCACAGTCCTGGTAAATGGCGAGAAGGACTCCAGGGGAGGCTAATCAATATGGGGCCTCTGCAAATGAATTTTGGGCTTTGACTATTGTCCATAGTCTTCTGCAAACCTGATGCTCAGAATTTAAGCCCTACTACTAGTTATGCTAAACCACTGTTTGGTTTTAAGAGGATCTCTGTGGATATTTTTGGTTTAAGGGTTATCTTAGAACAATAGTTTCATAGATCTAGCCAGCCTCCATGGCTACAGAAAGTTTGAATTTCACGAGAATTTTAAATTCTATTTTGCATTTCACCCACTTTGGTCAATACTCTTGAAGAGACTCTTTGATCAAAGCATTCAGTAATGGTAGCCAGTCCATATGGCTCTTCTGGTTTCATGGCAGAGGAGGCAGTTGTTCATGGAAGCAGTTGGTCACACATTCCATTCAGTCATACTCTTTGGGGCTTCCTGGAAGAATGAGTGTCCATGTGAGGGAGACTGTGTGTCTGGGCACAGTGGACGCCTCATGTTGGGATCTCTCCCAGACCTCATCTGACGCAGCTCTTCCCTTGTACCCTTTCTGGTTCCAATAAATAGGTAACTCTAAGTAGAGGTGAGAGTCTCCATGCCTTTTTAAAATTCCACATGAGGATCAGATTCATGATGATCCTTAACGATAAAGGTAGGGTGTTCCACATGCTCCTTAAGTACAACTCAGTGATACTCAACTACATACTGGTTTCCTTCTGTGACAAGCCAAATAATGGGCCCCAAAAGATGTCCATGCTCTACTCTCCAAATCCTGTGACTACATGACCCTCGGTAAGTAGGTGAAAAACAGGGTGGGGGTGGGATGTTCAGGTGCGATTAAGGAGTTTGAGACGGAGCCCTTGGTTTATGAGGTTGCGTGGGTGGGCGGTTGTGCGCCATCAAGTCATTCCGAATGAGGCTCCCGGAGGAGAGAGTGGAAACGCCTCGCTGGCTTTGCGAGGCTCGTCTTCCAGCAGCAGATGCCAGGTCTTTCATCTTGCAGAGGGGCTCAAACCAATGACCTTTTAGTTACCAGCCGAGAGCTCAGCCAGGGCTCCGGGAGTATCCGCGTAGGCCCGATATCATTAATTACAGGGTGCTCCTAAGCGGGAGGCAGAAAGGTCGGGGCAAGAGGAGAGGCAAGGAAGGAAACAGAGGGCCAAGTGGTGCCACTGAGGAGAAGGGGCACAGACCATGAACAAGCCAGGGAACGGGAAAGGGAGCCTTCGGCAGGAACGCAGTCCTGCCCACACGGTGACAGACTCAGCTTCGGATTTCTCACCTCCAGACTCTGGGAGCGTTCTGTGTGCTTTTAAGGCACTAAGTTTTTGTTAATTTGTTATAGTAATGATAGGAAAGGAATATGCCTTTCGCTTCCCAGAAGGGAAAAAAATGCACATTTATTTTTGCTAACGCCCCAGGTACTTTTTCTTGGTCTCAAATCTTTGTACTCCCCCCCTCACTCCCTTCCTTTCATTCTTTCCTAGTACCTTTGATTCTTCATTAAACAAATACAAGTGGGGTACCCATGTCCCCTACAGAATGCCCAATACTTCTTCTAGATGTCTTGCTCTTGCTTTGTCCCTTTCAATTTCTGCTAATATCTTCTTATGAAAGTTCCAAAA